AGCAACCGAACAAAAAGTTGCGCTTGTTTTCCCGATTTCATCCCCTATTTTGCGTCAAAACCCCGTAAAGAGGATGAGTTCGTACTCGTTGGCCGTAACAACCTTCCCGAAAACCAAACGCCGTTGCACACGGGATTATAGCCTAGATTTTGGAATGGTCGTCGATTGGCAGGGTGGGGATTCATTTCCATTCCTCCAAATCTGAAGATTACCCTCCGTGGACTTGCGGATCACAGAAAAAAACCCGATAGAAAATGCTACAAATTTCGGGGTAGTCACATCGTTCTTGGAAAAAGGGGGAATGTTATTCGAAGATCACTTTCTGATTTACGAGGAAGATTACGGTAGCTCTCAAAAATCAGGGCTTTTGGGAGGCGATATTTTAGGAAGTTTTCCGCACTATAGATCGTAAAGGGTGTCGGCATGAATTTTCGGAGGTATTTGCGGGCTGCCCTTACCGATAACACTCTTCAGGATCGTTTTAAAGGGTTTTGCGAGGCATTACTGTGGATTTTGTCGGTTCTGGCTCCCGGCACGCCACGCGTCCGCTGCTTGGCCTTTAGCTGATGTGATCGGTCACGCAAGGGAAAACTCAGCGCGTCGCGTGTCGCGGGTGCGTTCACCACTAGAGAGAAACGATGACCAACAAAAAAATACTCATGTCTTGTCGACCCCTTTAAAATTGACCATCAGACCAGGTAACTTTATGAATTAATCAATGGCTTCTCTTATGCAATCCCAATTCCTCCTTAAAACTCTGATTGCTCAGCTTATAAGTCTTTCACGCACACCACCCGTCCGTCCACAGGTGCTTTTCGGAAAGGTCGCGCCGACATAAAAAAACGGAAAACAGCTCGCTAGGTACGAAGCCCTGGCCCGAAAAAAAACGTTGAGTTCGAAAGAGGGCAGTTTTGGGCGCGCCATCGCGCAGCTGCAATTATAATTGCACCCGGCTACGCAAAAATAGCTTATATAGAATTTTTGGGAGAGCGTATAATGTTCCAGGGTACGGGTCGGAAAGTGTCGGGGGATCTTTAAGAGGGTTAGAAAAGAGTTTTTGAAAGCTACCGTATGGCCACGGGGTGATGGAAAAAAACCGAATTTGGAAGCTGGGCTTGGGAGAAGCCACGAAACCGCAGCTAGGCGAGCAAACATCTAAAAATTGGGGCTTATTTTGCAGCACATTTTTAAGGGTTGCGAGATTGATTTTTTTTTTACTCTTACTCTAACTGGCCTCTAACTTCGGGCTTACAAACTCGATGACCGGAAGATAATGAGAATAGTCTAAAAAATCTAATCAAGACCGGTCTAACCAAAAAGTCCCTTGAGCTTACGTATCAGAAAAATACATAGACGTGAAATAGTGACAATAATATGCAAGCGCGGCCAGGAAATGATGCAAGACTGTATCCAGAAATCCTAAAAATATCAAAATTTGCGAAATTGATCCTTTTTCACGAGGATCAAAGTTGTGGGGTTACGGTAGGTCGCGGCAGTAAAAAAAAGACCGTCTAGCCAGAAGAAAGCCAACAGGTTGGTAGCCAATGAAGTTATGGATTTTTTTGGGTGGCTAGGGTGTGCCCAAGCCGATGCAGCATCGGCATTCGTGGGAGACGCGGGCGGGCGCGCGGGGTGCACGGCGTGTATTGCGCAACGGGCGTCGCCCACCAAAGGGACCAGGGGTACTTACCGTAGCAGACAGGGGAGAGAGTGTGCAATAGAAGGAGGCTGGAGACGGGAAGGGGACAGACGCGCGTCTACACACAGACACACAGACAGACACACCGGCTCGCGCGACCCACGCAGGAGGGGGCACACTTGGTGGACTGCCCCTGCCATTCCATACCAAGGGATGGTCGGGTGTGCACTACGCTTTTGTCCGAAATGCAACTCTAGACGGGGTAGGTGATGACGGAGGGGTGACCAATGGGCTGAAGTAGCGCTAGACGTCCAGTTTTGTGGAAAAGTGGAAAATTAGAGTGATAGGGAGATGGAAAGCTAGAGAGAGAGACAGGGGGATAGGGAGAGATAGAGCTCTAAAGAGCGGGAGAGGGATAGAGAGAGGGAGAGAGAGAGAGAGAGAGAGCAGCCAAAAACTTCGTGTTTCTTTCTCCTGATTTTCGAAGCGAAGTTATAGTGGCAAGAAGGCTACCACCGATCTAACACTGATTTAGCTCTTAACGTTTCTTAGCGCCTTTTATCTATTAAATGCCCATTCATTCATTGATTTTAATTTATGATAACTATATAAAAAACTAAACTAAACCAAATAAAAATATACACAAACAAATCGATAGCAATCAATTTACCCGGAAGGAAAAGGAGTAAACGGTTGACCCAGCTCCATACCGTTACTTATCAAAATCGCGCCGGGTAGTTCCAGGTGGCGTAAGGAGGTGTAGATGGCACTGGATGGGATGGTCATTGGCTGGTCCACTGTCGTGCTGACCCCTACGAGACACTATCCCTTGATAACGCAAACGTTTTTTAGGGCTGACCATTCTGATTTGCCGACCCCCACGCCAAATGATAAGCCAAGAAAGGGCAAGTTGGGGGGACCTTAGGAAATGTGAGGGAGCTGATGTTGAGTAGGGGTTGAGTTTTGGAGATGTGTGAAGGTATCTGATGTTAAGGCATTTCAAAGAGAGATCGTAAAATCGGCCTAAATCTTTGTTAAATACATTTGCAAGTATAAATTCATAATTTGAGCCTTGAAAATTCAGGTGTTTGATTTTGCATGCCGTTGGATCTTTTAAAGGGCCTGTGAGGTACAGAAAAACTTCGGTGATTGCTAGCTATCTGTGCCTACCGTCGCGTTACGAACGCATACCTACCACGTCGTAAAAATGCGTACAAAAAACATCGGGATACGCTTGGCTTGTAGCGTAGCTGTCGAGACACATTCAATCTCAAAAAATCAACGCTTCTCCTCTCCATCTATATCGCCCAACTAGACAGCTTGATAGACATTTTCCTTTCGCAAATATCTTCTGCGAAATTTAACTTACCGATAGTACGCCGTACTGCAGCGTAAATCGCTACACAGGACCCCCCGCCTACCGTACCCCATAAGCAGTTCTACTCGTCGTCCCCTCCAGCTTCTTATCCGGATGCCCTTTCCGCACAAATCCGTAAATCCATTACTACGGTGTTTACGCGAAATCTTTGGGCGCAATACGCCTGATCCCATCTTACGCTTTTCGCCTGCGCAATTCATTCCCAAATTGATGAGTGATCTTTGGGAATCATTCGCAAACAAGTGCATTTTATGTAAGCATTTTTAGGACATCAATAGGGCTTAGCTACCGTAATCTTGCGGATGGATCACAAGATCATCATCATCCGGAAATCACGATGATAAATAATTATCTGAATAAGCCGCGACTCCGTTTTAGCGGATTATCATACACTGTTTGTGCGAATCGCTCCTCTTTGCATTTGCTATTACCTCAAGGCCCGGCCAGCAAATCCGCAAAAACAGAAAAACTATGCGTTGAAAACGAAAAACAAAAAAAGCGCGTGATTTATGGTTCTTGAAACTTGGCCATATGGTGCGTGGTCAACTAAAAAAGGGCTTCAGTGACGATTCCATCCGAACGACAAGTACTCGTATTAGACAGATAATTTTATGGAGGCCTTTCTAAGGATCCAATAAACTTATTACATTTTACAAATTTGCTAATCTGCTGGACACTTGACTCTAAAAACTCTTGAACTTTTTTGACCTTGACCAATCCATCGAAATCCCACGGTCTATCAGTGACTCACTCCCGCATTTCGTACCCACATCAACTAGACCAGAGTAAAGAAACGAAAAACCGGTTCTGAGCCAAGGCACCACCAACAAGATGAAAACTGCCAAAAACCCCTTTGGAGCCAAATTTTCCCCCGTTTTATCTTAATTCCTCGTCGAGAACAATGTTTTGCAGAATTACGGCGATTCTCGTTGGCTTCAACTGTTTAAGTGTAACTATTGCTGAAAAATCAGATTTGGAAGCGATATTTGCCGGGGAATTGGAGGTACTTTGATATCGATTTTTGCCTAGACAACTTCTTGTAGAATCCAGACATTACTGGGAAGGCTGCGGACGTTTCAAAGATTTTGGGAATGATTACTGCAGATCCGAAAGCTACGCTTGAAGCTTGTATGAAGTCCCAGGAGGTAAGTGAGAGCGAGAGTAAGAGAGAGAAACGGAGATAGATAGATAGAGAGAGAGAGAGATATATAAGGAGAGATATCTAAGAAAACTGATCATACAGCCTAATCAGGAAAACCACTGCAAGCAGCTCATCCAAAACTTCATCCAGCTACTGAAAGACGCGGAGATTGCACAAAGGATGGCGACGGAATTGAAGCGCTTTACAGAACTTGGGTCCATAATCCATCTACGCGCAAAACGTAGCTCAACGAAAGCGCAAGACAATACGGTATATCGCAATTTATTTAACAAATTTCCTCTATCAAATCTTAGGAAAAAGAGACGACTTTTACCGAGGACCTTGCTGAAATCGCTGAAGCGGCGGGGCGGAATCAAAAAGATCTTATTGAGGGCTGTGAGCAAATGGTTGGGGCGCTGTATAAACTTGTAAGTGCTCTAAAATGTTTCTTTTTCGGTACAATCGTTCTTAGATAGTTGACTGCCCGGCCCTTGTCGCCGAGGCCACTGAACTGCTTGGAGACATCGCCAAGCAAACCGACGACGTCGAGAAGATGAACTTTGGGGCCTTGAAGAGGAAATTGTTGGATGCATAACTGTGCAATAAATCAAGTTGGAATCATATTTATTTTCACGAATTGACCACTAATCGTGTTTCTCTACATTTTGCTCTTCGGGACGAAGCGGGCCATCAGTCTCTCGATGGTGGCCTCATGCGTGAAAAGCTCGCGAAGGACTTCGGTTTCGCGCTCATTTACAGCAATTAGCTTGTCGACAATTTCACGAGGACGCAGAAGGGCTTTTGAGGCAATTACGCTCTAAAAATAAAATTAGCCTTAATCATTTTTGGGTTACGTGGTGAGCCAACTTGGCGTATTTCTCAAGCAGCTTGCCGGTCTCCTCACGGAAGCGATCGTGTGGGATGATCTTGGAGGCAAAGCCACATTGGAAAGCTTCTTGAGCGGACATTTTCTCGGCGAAGAGAGCGAGGGATCCGGCCTATGGTGGATGATGTCGTTATTCCGTTTAATAGGATACCTTGGCCCGACCCATAATGTTTTCAAAAGTGTGGCTCGAAGCTCCTTCCGGGCACAATCCAAACTGCGTGAACGGGCAGAGGAAGTAACTCTAAAATAAACATTTTTGCTCTGAAGTATCCAATTTAAACAAAAATTTTAACAACCACTACTAATTACGTATGGCGCATACTGTATTTTGTAGTATTGTATTCTGTATCTTCGATACCGTATTAAAATGCCGCCTTTACCTTATCGGAGATGATCACATGATCCATCAGCGCCAACGTCGTACAAGCGATGCCTATCGCCGGCCCATTCACCAGGGCGATCAGTGCCTAAAACATGCATGCCCTTTCCAAAAAATCCCATCTCCATCAGCCCTCCAGTCATACCCCTGATTTCTGTCCAAACCACAACAAAAAAAAAAAAAAAAATAAAAAAAAAAAAAAAAAATTGAAAGGGCCTCCACCCAAAGTCCCTATTTTTCGCACCCATTTTCGAGGCGAATGACGGGAAGGGCTAAACCCGACTTTGGTGACATCCAGATGGCGCAACCTGGTATTTTTCTGTTGTTCACGAGAGCTACGCCGTTGCCCTGGGAGTTACCGTAAAAATTTTGGAAGTAGTGGGTTTGTAGGGCTTGGGAGGGGTTTGGGGAAATGAAGGTGAATGCTAAGGTACCGTATTTCCTCTAATATAACCTCGGGGGTTATATTTTTTAATCACCCTGTGGGAGGGGGTTTGTATTGGGGGAGGGGGATTATAAAAGAGGGGGCCTATATTTTTTTTGATCGACTAGAATCTCGAAAATGGGGGGTAAAATAATCGATTTTGGACCAAAAACACAAAATTCTTTTTCGCAAAAGAAGGCGTAAAATTACTCAAAATTGCAATGTTACGCATAAACTTCAGCTTTTACTGCGTTTTTTTTGGCTCCTGAGTGCATATTTGAGCAAAAATTTTAGGGAGGGGTTATATTAGAGGGGGGGTATATTAGAGGAAATACCGTATCATAATCTTAAACTAAGCAAAAAAAATAAATTACTAGGTAATACAAGACTACCTTTTTATGTTTGATCAACCGATTCGTCCAGACTTTGTGCAGGGGCTGCGGGTCGATTTCGTCCATGTCACTACAAAAAAAACACGTCCCTTTCGCATTTAGTTTAGCATATCTATTTTTCTTTTTTAATGGCCAGGTATTAAACGCATGCAAAAATACGACGTCTTTCAGCGTGTTTTCAAAATATAACTCACGGTACATTACCGGCCGCCGGGCTGAAGTCATTTCCAGACGAATAAAACTCATCACCACAACCTAGAGTTTACATCAATTTTCTTCTTAATTAATAACAAGCAATATTATAAAAACACAATTTAAACTCACCAGTAAAGACCGTAATAAAGGTATCCTCATCGTCATTAGCCGCTTCCGTAGCCAGAACTAATTGCTTGTACATCTAATCCAAATTTAGATCAGTGTATCCGTCTTTTACCTCGTGATTAATCGCATTTTTGCGCTTCACATTGTCAAATTTAATGAAAAAGATTGGACCCTTCTTCTCGGTGGTGATCGACATTGCTAAATTTATTTTTAAAATTTGAATTTTTAGAAAAAAGGACAGAAATCCAGCGCAAAATTGGGACCGCCATCTGCTTATCAGGGATCTCCGAAAGGCTACACTCCACCGGGCGCCAAACTACAATTCGTTATCACTCCAATCGGGCGTTCGTGGTGGTCTTGTTTTGATTGAAATTAGTATCAATTATAACATTAAAAAATATATACATCCGTTAAATCCGTTTATCGCTATATCATCATTCCATCTACAATATGCCTGTAATAACCCGGAAAAATACAGTAGGACTAGAAACACCGAAATATGAATGACCAGAATGGAAGGGGATTAATTACCAATTTAGGGGTCCTGTAGGTTTCATATGTACGTATTTTTAGCGGTTCCTGGAAAAGGAAAACCCTAAAGTACGCCTAGAAATTTTAAAAATTCGAAAATTTGAGCAAACCGTATAGCTTTTTTTCTGAAAAAAGATTGCACTCGGCAAATGTACAAAGAGTAGGTATATCTAAAAAAGTGGGATATCCGATTTCACGAAGGAATCACAACCAGCAAAAGGCACAAGTGAATGACAAGCTAGAGAGGGATGGTTTTTATAAAACGTTTGGAGAACTATCGCGACGATCCCTGACGGGTGTCCAGAGTAAAAGATGTCGTGACTCTTCGATCCGTTGCGAGGCGTACTGTAAGAAAAAAATATGGATTTTAACAGAAACGGGAAAACACGACTACGGTAATTTAGAACAACGGCACGTCGCGGTTTTTGTGGTGTTTCACGCAAGAAAGGGTAAAGTCTAAGAAATAATGTTTAAGTTCTGAATTTTTTGCCAACTTATAAAGCAACGAAATTTAATTATTTAAAGTAGATTTATATTGTCATGACAAGGCTAAAATTTGCGTAATTTGTAATGGTAAATGCCGATTTTATGTCACCTGAATTTCTATAGAATAAAAACGTATAAATTTCCACTACTATTTTTATCGCTTTATGGTTTTCTATGGTTTTTATTCAACCTATGTCTTTCCTACGACTTACTACAGCCTAAATTGTGCGACACCACGACGCCAAAAACTCGAAAAGTAGTGTGCCACCGAGAAGTTGTGTCTATTTTCGTGTGTAGGACCATAGAGAGAAAGTGCACACGTATTGGTGGTAGAATTGTGGATGGGTGGATGGATAGCAGAACTGTTAGAAGACGTCGTGCCCTCGCCGGACCAAGGAAATCTTCTTCTGCAAAGGCATCAACTCGGTCGAGGTCGGCGAGATCGAGCGGATCGAGCGTTTGTGGCGAGTCGTCCCGCCGCATTCCACCTGGAAAAGGAGGGAGGAGTCGAGAGGTTGAAAATTTAAAAGGAGACAAGATACCAAAGAAGCGCTGAATGAGCAGAAGAGAAAGGCTTAAGTATCATGATTTTACAGATAAAACTAAAAAGCTTTGAAAATCGAGAGCCTTCATTTACGTTTACCTAACTAATATTAAAAATCTTTATATAAGCATGCAAATAAAAAATTAAGACCTGTCCCTTAAGGTATACCTTGATCTTGTGTAAGGAGCGCTAGAAGAGTAAGGTGAGGATTATGAAAGCTTACTGACTATGATATACTAAAAATAAAAAGCAAAAAATTTTCGTTAGCCTATCGATATGACCGAATTCCATGGTCGACCTCTATTAGCCTAAGCCCAAGCCTAAGCCTGTAAAATGCCTATAAAATGCCCTAATTCTTCGTCAAATGGGGAATCGACTCTTCTGTTTCCGATGGCGTTTTCAGAATTTCGATAAAATACAAGTTTATAAAGTTAAAGCCGGTTTTATTCATTTTTGGGGTCCCTGAGGGCTTACTGGCATAAAGTGAAAAAATAGGAATTTCCTCATGCTTGCAAGTTGCACTGGCGCGTGTGGTCGGACGGGGGGAGGGGGTCCGCGCGACCCGAGCTATCGGGGGGTGCCCCCCCGGGGGGCCGGGGGGGGGGGGGGTGGAAATTTTCAGGGGGGGGTTTTTTTTTTTTTTTTTTTTTTTTTTTTTTGGGGGGTTTTTTTTTTTTTTTTTTTTTTTTTTTTTTTTTTTTTTTTTTTTTTTTGGGTTTTTTTTTTTTTTTTTTTTTTTTTTTTTTTGGGGAAAGTCAAATTTATCATGCAGAGGCCGCATTCCAGCGCCCAAGGCCCGCGAAGCGGGTTTTGGGCGCTGGTAAGAAATAAAAGAAAATTAGATATCGACATTTTTATTAGGTACAGTTACCCACCAATTCCAATCCGGTGCCCTCCTCGCCGCTATTCTCGTCGTCCGACTCGACTCGTAATACCTAGATTAAAACTTTTAGCAGATTGTTTGGAACCTACCACATGTGGAGTACTATTGACGGCAACACTGATATTATTGACGAGGGGTGGCTCGGGTTGAGTGAGAGTTACCTAAAAATATATAAGCTGTAGAGACTTTGAAACGTTCTAGAAACTTAATCGTAAAGCCCTAAATACCTCCGGAATGTTCTCCATCGCGTCGATATTCAGTGCATTTTGGCTATCGTGATGGTAGATCTGGTATTCCTTTTCGTTGAAGGTGCCCGCGGTCTAAAGGTATTGAAAGATGTATTTAACTATGTATCAACTAAACCAAAAGTTTAAGTTAACACACCCTCATCTCATCCAATTCCTTCGCTGAACATGGTGGCGTTTTCACATCATAGACATTGTGGAATTTTTGGAAATCAATATGGTATTGCCCGTTCTCTTTTTTGTAGTGCACCAGTTTCTCGAATCTGAAAAGAACTTAGTTATCATAATTTCGTAAACTGTGATACGTTAATTCTATATTGACTTTTCCCTCACCGTTTCCCCCATAAAATTTCATTTGGAAGATAACTGGTCCTTGCTTGTGTTGTCGACCCCACCGATTCCACAACGCCCTCCAATATCGCTAAAAATACGGAATATACAGGGTGTCCCAAAAAAAGACCCCCCTCTAGCGGTCGGCAGTGGTGTCCGATTTTGACGATTTAGATATCTATCGAAAGCTCTCGACGAGCTGAGGAGATACGTTCTTGCAGATCTGCGAAATTCCCGAATTTTAAACCGATTTTCATCGTTTTTTGGGCATAAATTCCAAAATTTTGTGCAAAAACCCAATTAAACGGTTTCAGTCCCATCCAAGCTGTGTTGTCTCAAATGTCTTTTAAAAGGCCGACCTTGGGCTGCCAAAAAATGTGGAAATTAGGAAACTGGGGGGTTTTTTTAAAACACTTGCATGGGAAAAGCACCGAAATTTCGTAAAAATGTTGACAAATGTCATAAAAATTCGGGAATTTCGAAAATCGGAAAGAACATTCTCGTCGAGAGCTTTCGATAGATACCTAAAACGTCAAAATCGGACATCACTGCCGACCGATATTTTTTCTTTTTTTGGGACATCCTGTAGATAGCTTTACGTTTCCATACCAATAATCTCAAATTTGGCCGTCATCAAGCTCTCCTTGCTGACGTCGTAGAGTGGTGAATTTTCGTCGATTTCATGGCATATCGTGATGGGCCATATTACGAAGACTCGATCCAACCCTTCGTCATACCTAAAAAATTTGCATAAAAATATAGCGAAGGCATAAACATACCCGACGTCCATATCAAATTGATGAAATGGTAACAACTCTCCCTCGTAGGTTATACAACGTTTGATCATCTGAAAACGTCATGAATTATAAGGAAAAATTATCATTGTTTTAGATAGAACAAATCCAACTATTAGAAGTTATAGGAAGAAAGATCTACACTTTGCTTATGGAAATCGCAAACCCCATTGAAATTGCCCGTCACCTGTAACCGAACGTGCGCTTCAGCCAACGAGCTCTTCCTCATGTCTCCGACTCGGAAGAGGAGGCACAACTTCCCGTCCCTCATGCAGATTACCGCGTTTTTGCTGAAAAAAAGAGGTTTTGCATGGTTTCGTGTCCCTGATTTCCCGGAAAGTCATTTCACACACTCGCCTAGTTTATGTGCGGTTCCGGGCCGCGTGTGCCAAGCGGGGGTCTCAGAACAATGAGCCAGTGAGCTTGTTTAGAAAACACGAGCGCGCCTTGGCTGGGGTTTGGGATTAGAAAAATGGCTGAAATCGGAAGATTGCTTCCGCCGCGGTTTAGGACAATTGGTGGATTAGGTCCCCTGTTTCGGCAGAAAGATTAAAATTCGGAGATAAGCTTTTCTTAATCTGCAACATTGTCATATGAGTCAACAGATCGCGGTATTGCGCGCTTTACGACTCATATTTTACGCCGGCCCAACAAGCAGGGTTTTTATTTTTCCCTAAAAAGAATTCGTTGTCACAAACACTTATCACTTTTTTCACAACCAATCAGTTTGTGGGATTTTCGAACACTCAAATTTTGACTTCGAACCTTGACTTCACTTTGACTCAACCCCTGAAGGTATCAGTAGATTTACGACTACGGACTCCATTTCTAACCCTAATGAAAACCAAAAACAATATATTCTGCTCAAAACAAAACCAGTCCCCAGCCACCCCATCCTTTCCATTTGGCACACGACCCGAAAATGAGTTCACCATCGCCCCACCCCGTCACGACCATGATGATGTGCCCATTTTGACGCCCTTTCATCGTGGGCTTGGAAAAAGGAGGTCCCTAAGAAACGAAAGCTACCCCACGGGGCTCATTTGTCGCCCATTTTCAAGGCGGCCATCACCCGGCGGTGTGGTCGTGGCCAGGCGAAAGCCGGGGCGCAATTACCCCGCTGACACCCACCGGCTTCACGACCTTTGTTTTTCTGGGAGAAATAAAACGTGAACAGGCGATAAAACAATAATTAGTTTTTTTCCGGGGGCTACAGCGAGGTATTGGTTTTGGTAGGAACGAAATAAAGCCTAAAAAATTTGGCCTCAGAGCCAAAATTGCTCTTTTTGTAATACAGTCATGATGTAGAAAGGGAAATATCGACAGCATGGGCTGGCGGTGCATTAAATAGGTAAAAATATAGAAAAATCACCTAAAGATGAGCGTCGCCGCTCGTTTGATCGGTCTGGCCAACTTTGAAAAGATCACACCAGCCATGAGCGTCTGAAAATGAAAATTAGGAAATACGAGCAACTTCGACAAGTCGGCCGATAAAAATCAGACGAATCGTAGAAGGTAAAAACCTTTCAAAAATTTACCTGTGACAAAATACCCCACATAAATTGCACCATCATCGCCAGCACTACCAGAGGACACTGATCAGTTGGATATCTGAAGTATAATTTTCTTTGCAATTCAAAAGTATGCGCACCTCATTAGTCAACTTTGTTTTTAAAGGGTTACAAAAATTTTGGTATTCCGTCTAATTGCCCCCAATTAAGTTCACCGGCTTCCACCTGCTCAGCTCTTCCGGATCAATAAGAGCGGCCAACGGATATTTACAGACAAGTATTTTAAGGTGACATGGCTGATGAAACCCCGGCTATCTTATGCCGTGACGTCATGCTTTACAGAAGTGTCCTTTCACCAGTCTTCCTGATCTTATCAACCCTCGCTTCCGGTTTCATGCTTTTCATAACATCGATAGCGACGCCGAAACCCATGGAAGGATACAAAATTCATATGATTGATAGCCTGGTAGGTCTGCGTCTACTGAAGGCTATCAAACGTCAAGGTTGGTTGCTACATCGTCAACGCCGTGGTCATCGCGATTTATGGACCTTATTTTTGTTGGAAAGAAGAGAATGCGGAGCTCGTCTTTTTCTCGGTTGCAGTTTTGCAGTTTTCTGATGGAAACCTTTTGTGGACAATTGCTATGGTAGGCTTTGATTCTTTGCCAGCCATTTTAGATAACTCCGATTTCAGTCAATATTTGCCCTGAGTGCTATCAATGTATGTAGAAGTAATATACTTTGCTTCAAACACCGCTTTGAATGTGTCGCCGTCGGCAAGTATCACCTTTTTTGCGTGCGTGTTGGCACTCGAATGGCCTACGTGATGTTTACATACGCACTGATCTGCACGATCCTCACACTGGTGTATGGCCTCGTGCCTTTGGGCAGATTCAAATTTGTAAGTGCGGCAGTTAGCAAACACGCTCTTATTCTAGGAAACGCTAAATGGGTCCGATAAGTCCATAAACCTAGTATTTGTCAATAGCATCACCTCTTCTTGGAAATACATAGGCCCTTTTACAATACTTGCTTTCTCCTACATCATTGCGTTCCTATTCTATTTTGGCTCCACTTACTATTGTCTTTACCATAATCAAACCGTGGCCATAAAACTATCGAAAACAACGATGCGAGCGCAAAAGGTTGCCTTTTTGACGTTATTGGTACAGGTATTTGGTCGTTGACCTTCAGCGAGCGTATTTTAGTGTCTCTCGACGCTTGTTTCTGGATTCATTGTGGTCCTTTGCGTGTTAGTATCCATTTTATCTAAAAGCAGCGCATGGATTAAAGGTTTTGCTTTTTGAAAAGAAGCATAAGATCGCTTTTAGCGACGAACATGAGCGCTGCCATCCTACTTCAACCATACGGGCTGTTCTACCCCATAATGCTACTTCTGACCACCAGGCCATTCTATAACCACGTTAAGCAACTTCTAGGGAGGCTTAAAATTAGCCTAGTTGAAAACGAAATCAGTTCCTTATACCACCACCAGAACAGAACGTCAAAGAAGAAGACGGCCGCGCGCGAAATCTCGATTGTGCAGCCAATGCCGAGACCTAACAAACCATGCCGTATCATGGATGATAAAAGATGATAAAACCCTTATAAAATTGCTGACCATGAGAGCACAACATTTGCAGGCATGATTTGTACTTGAGGCGGTGCACCCGTATGAAACACCTGCGTCAGAAATGCGGCTTTAACGTTTCCCAAAATTTTCGAAAAGTCGCACAACACCCATCGATCGTTGGCAGTTACTGTAACTTTATTATCAACATGCCGGAAAAAGTATATTACGATGCGTTACCATATCGAACGTATATCACAACTCTGTGCCTGTCGGTAGCAACGCCCATATTTGCAATGTTGATTTATTTGGTGGTGGTGGCGACCCCGGTCAGGATGATGCGCTACAGATATTACATCTTTGATAGTCTGGTAAGTACTGAATGACGGATGGGGACTACGCTTACAAAATCCAGATATCTTCCTACACCTTCAGCCATACCTGCATCATCATATTGCTTCCTTATTTTGTACAGGATGAAAAAGGCCTGCAAACGCTATCAATGAGCTTATTGGCCAACATAGCTCCGGAAACGAACTGCCAGTTGGTCTGGGTAGGAAAGCTCTCGTTATGAATGCGGGACTCTAGTGTGTGCTAGCCATCGCGGTCACAAATTGCTGTCGCTCCAATATCAACTCATTCAAGTATCGCTTTGAGAGCGTACTGTTTGGGCGGCACAGAGCATTGTGGAAAAAGTATCGGTTCTGCCTGTACATTTTGCTGGCCTACGGAATTTTCACGTCAATCACAAATGTTTATCTGGCCGTGGAAGGTGGCCCAGTATCGATTGTCATGGTAATTATGCAGATATAAATTTTCGTCGATCAGCTAGCAACCTATCTTCAATTCCTTTAGATGACCCATTCTTTCACGGGACTACAGCCGCGGCAGGTCACGGCAATGCGCTACAGATTTTCATTTTTCTGGTTCATCCCATTCACGCTACTTGGTAGCTGCTACGTCGGCATCTTCATGCTCTTTATCTGCACCACCTACTATTCCCTCTATTACAGCAAAACCTTTTCCCAGCGTATTTCCCCGACCACCCTATCGGCACAACGTCATGCGTTCTACGCGCTCTCCGTTCAGGTTAGTAAAAAAGCTTCATTTACGGAACATTTTTCTAGGGCGGACTAACTCTTGGAATCCAAATCTTCCTTGTCAACTCCACACTCCTGACTGTCTCTATTGGAATGGAGAGAATGGTGGAAGGTTAGCGTTTCAGCTCGTCAAAAGTTGCTCGTAGTCAACGACATAATCTCCTCGATCCTGGTAATGTTCTACAGCCAACTGTACGGAATCGCCGTGCTTTTGACAACCAGACCATATCGAATGCATGTTGCCCTTCTGTATGCCAAACTCTTCGGCGGGAGTGTGGTGAACCGTCGTGCAACGATAGTTTCGATTGTCATTCAATGCCCGAGCAATTAGTAAAGTAATGTGATACTATCATCCCTAAGCTGTAGCGTAGCCAACTTTCAAACACAGCACTTTGGCACGGTAGCGTATATGCGTTTAATATCATTATAATCTTGCCAAATGCATAGTGTTCCCCGAAAAACAAGCTTTTTGTTGAACTTAGTGTTTCTCATATCTTTCCGGCAGCACCTGCCACTGTGGAACTGTGATCAAGGTTGAGGCCCCAAGAACTACATATCGACCGCCGGTTCTTTATTTTTGCGATAATGTCGAATAGAACTTACTATGATGTGTGACTTTATCGCCTTTACATCTCAACAGCCTGCCTGGCGGTTGCTTCGCCGAGTTTTCGGGGCTTACTCTACTAGAGCTCAGTGGCGTCGCCGAGGGGCATGATAAAATATCGATTTTATATAATTGACTCAATGGTGTGTTCACGATCGTTTTTCGGCGCTCCACATTACCTAGATATCTTCGTTCATCTTCACCCACACAACTGCTACTGTGGTTCTTCCGTATTTCGAACAGGGTGAGCATGGCATCATTGCATTTTCGATGACGCTGTTGGCAAGGTTTTACCCCGGAATGAACAATCAATGGTTTTGGGTAGGGCCTATTAGGACTCGTTTCTATCAACTGCTGCCGGGCCAACATCAATTCGTTTAAATATCGCTTTGAAGCGGTACTCTTTGGCTCCTATCGTGCACAATGGTTGCAATTTCGTCCTGG